CTATTGCTGGTCGTGCAACTTGGTCCGCCCTGGAGTTCTGACGTAACCTTGCACGGGCGTATCCAGGTCTCCACCACGATGTGGATCAGAGGAAGGTGTGTTTTCGGCGACGAATCCTTCGCTCGGTCTTCCTACTAGTTTATTTGGAGAGATGTTAAAACCGAAATCAGAAACGAAAAGTGAAGGTGACCGACCGCTCAAGGACGACGTAGAAGCCAAATTTAAATAAAGTTCTTGCAAACATATGACATCCAGCCTTCGAAAAGAAAACAATCCCAGAGTAGTGGAGAACGTCGCGTGTGATCAGTCTTTCCAAGAATGTGACTGAAGAAACCTTTATAGCTGTGGTCCAATGGAGGACTCTCAAATCGTGTTCTAGTCATTGGAGACCATCAGGAGTAGCATTAACCTCTTGTCCTAACTTCTATCCTCTACCAGCATAGTGACACAAGATGACACAACAAAAAGCAGTGTAGCCGTAGTGAGGCTTACCGAAACCGGATTTAAATGTCATTGAAACCTTCAATCTTTTAGCAGCTTTTTTTTACAAGTTGTTTCGCAGCTGACAACTGAATAACGAACATGTCCAGTCTTATACTAACACATTAGTACCCACTCATGATCCGGAATGCGGCGAACACTCAACGTTTAGTAATATTTCGAAACCGACCTTCCCTAAACCTCGGTGTGACTAATCAATATGTATTCTTTCTTGATAAGCGTGCACGAGGTTGATAAATATAGTTCCCAGGATCGACTTTCTCTTAACCTCGGCATTGGAATATGAATGTGTCGTTTTCTTGTTCAGCAATCGCGAGGTTTTTTAAACAGCATACATTTACTTCCATAAAAACACAATACAATACAACGCTAGCTGACGTTTCGGCAGTATCGCCTTCTTCAGAGCCTGGAAGGGTATACTAATATACAATCTACTAGGCCAAACGCTTCAATAACACTTACACAAAGACGAAAGACTTTCGTTCATTTCGTTCACCGAGGTTCAGGAAAAGTCTTTCGTCTTTGTGTAAGTGTTATTGAGTGACCTGGCTCGACACGAAGGCGAAGCTGCAACGTCGAGACGAACAACAATCATGGACCATCGACTCGGATCACCGGTTCTGAGGAAGACGAAGACGCCGAAACGTTAGCCGAAAATAAATATATTTATCAACCTCGTGCAAGCTTATCAAGAAAGAATACATATCAACGTTTAGTGTTAAACCCATCATTAGTTGCATAGACGGACATGATAGAATAGTTTGGTTCGTAAACCTTATACCCTTTCAGTTGCTTAAGCATATCTAGACCCATATCACAATTACACAAATATTCCTGAATGGTCCTTTCCACGCGCCCTAACAGAGCATGCGTGATGGAGGCCTTCCAGCCTACTGTCCTTTAACAAACGTTTCGAATGGCTCCGTTATGCGCGCCATCCTCGAAGTCCTTATGCAACACAAAGAGCAATAAACATCTATGGCTTCTCGATTCAGCAGTTAATGACCCTCTTAAGGGGTATAAACTGCCCAAAGTCTAGATGATCTGGAAAATGTTGCGCACAAATGAGAGGGTTGGGAATGGAACAACTACTGACACCGAGTTTTGTCATAGAATTTATGTCTGAGGTGCAAGTACCAGTAACCGATCGCTGGCCATTACTCTACCGTAGAAACATAGTTGATTACTTTGCAATTTACTCAGAACAAAAGGAAATCGACAAAAGTTTTGAGTTATTGAATAAACAGTCAGAGGACATTAAGTTTACTCGAGAAAAACCGAAAAAAAGTGGCCTCGATTTCTGAACATTCAGGTTGACCTATCCAAAAACGGCTACATCGCGAAATGATACTAGATTCCAAGAAAATAACTACAGCTATAAAGTGTTGCTTAAAAAGACCGATCTAGACTTGGTAACAGTGGTTGAAATACAACAGCACAGTCTTAGAAGCTAGCCAGCTCGTAACCCCCTATATGAAAATCTATACACAACGGAAATTTGCATAATGTGCTCTAACGGCAAAGACGGCAATTGCATGAGTTTGAGTACGGAGTATTTAATCTCTTGCAAAGCGTGGAGCCGAATACATTGGTTAAACGGCTAGAGAATTGCGCGTCGGTATTAACAAACACTACTAGGCAAATTTAAGGTGTAACCAAATACTACTCTAGGATGGCACAGTACACAGAGACACAAAGAAGAAAATTTTAAAATAAAGGTTGATATCCAAACAGAAGAATCCAAAAAATCAGCAAGTAAAGCACTTGACGTGTTTTAGAAAATCCAAAAAGGAACCACAAGAAGGACTGCCTTGTTATTTGGCGTGTCTTCGCTGCATACCTTATGCTTATTTTTGACCTGAGCTAAGCACATTCCTAGCTCATATAAGACTTTCTATAGCTCGTCTCCAACAAATTATTAAAAACTTACAGAAAGAAAAACGTGGATTTAAAAGGAGCTGTTTATTATGTGAGAAACAATTTGCCTAATAAGTTCAGTCTTCTGAGTTAGTGAAAGTGTCTGGCTGGAAAGATTACACTTTAGTTGACCCCTCCTAGCTCTGAAGAAAGCGAAACCGTTGAAAATCCAACTACTGTTAATTAATAAATGCGGTATTAATCAATGGAATTATCTTATAATAGCACATACACCCAGTGGTGGCTACTCTTCTCAACGGCAACCTTCTCTCGTCAGAGGAAATAAACTGTTCCAAAAAGCGGTTTCCTGCAAATTGCTAGGTGTAGAGAACAGCTTCTCAAATATAATGTCTAATACAATAGTTTACGCTTGATATAGGATGGATTGACGACAAAGAGAACGTGAAGAATCTGCTTAATGTGAAAAGAAAGGAGCAGAATGGGCATAGACACTATTCTCCACCATATATGAAATATACTTCAGTTCTCAGCTCAATTATGTCCACTATGTAACCACTTTTCATTTAGTGCCTATTCCTTTTCATGGCAGGGTATGGTGTGAAATATAACTTTCTAGGTGCTAACGTATTCACCATCACACCTTACGGGTCCTTCGTTTCGTCTTTCTCTTAGCAGTATTTCATAGATGCTGACAGGAATCACCCTTCAAAGAAGCCGACCTCGAGAGCACAAATCGGTATTGGATACAGTTAAGCTGAAACTGTGGTACACAATGACGTTGAGATACTTGCAAAACTCCTGACTGCAAGTGTATGTGGTGAGGATCGAACACGGTATTACCCTTCCGGGATCTAACGTATTCAACGTGTTCACCACCATACCGTGCGGGTCCTTCGTTTCGCCTTCTCTCAATAGACAGTTAGTAAAAAGTGATTGCATTGTGATTTATACCACAATTTCAGCTTAACTGTGTTCAATACTGATTTGTGATCCCAAGATCAACTTCTTTGACGGATGAATGCTGTCAGCACCTATGAAATACGACTGAGAAAAAGGCGAAACGGAGAAGCCTCATGGTGTGATGGTGAACACGTTAGCGCCAATAAGTTCAGCAGCGAGTTCGATCTCCACCGCACACACCTGCAGTCCGAAGTTTTGTCAATCGTCATCGCAGCATCATTGTGGTTATGTCCTGCGTATTTTAACTTTCATTTACTGCCTATTCTTTCTCGATGAGACAGTGCTGTGTGAAATACGACCGAAAGGATTCTGAGATATGAGCAAAATCGGAAACGCCAATTGGCCTTTGGACAAACGGTTAGCCTCACCGGTGGCTCACGTGCACGTGCATTCACACTAACCAACACTTTTTCTTTGATTTTCTCTCAGTTATGTCTTTGCTCTGTCGCTTCTATGAGCAATCACCAAGCTAACGGTAATGTCCTGGAAAGCACAAATCGGCATTGAACTTAGCTAAATTGAAGCTTCCGACTAAGTCACAATATATTAAGTTTTATAAGAGTAAGGTTGAGGTCAGGCAGTAATTCAAACCCAGGAAGACCTCCCAACCACGATGAGGAGGTAAACCGTTACGAGGATTCCTCGCTATTAGTATTTGAAAAATGTGGTAGATCGTCAGGCGTTGCGTGTGACGACGTCACTTTTAAAAGCATGTCAAGCAACGTGTTACGCGTCTGCCGGCATCAGTAATCGATCAATACTGCGATCAAAGTCGGCATCCTGGCAAGAGAACATTCCGATTCTACTTCCCGAAGATCAAATGAACTTCCGACGTTGACCTACCCGGCTCTTATATTCGAGAAGTGAATGTGGTGTTGCTACCACGAACACTGGCACACTGCTAGCACTAATGAACGTACTGAATTATTGCTTCATTTGTTAATCCGAAGTCGACCAAATGACTCACCAGTTGAGTTTCTTCATTGTCCAAGCCGTCGTCGTTTGCATCAACACTGAATGACATCGGATGGGCAGTGAACGGTCCACTTGTGGGCTCAACCTACCAAGAAATGAAGAGGATTTCACTGATTACCTTCCCGTCAAGAGTTCGGATATCACTTGTAGCACATGTAAATTAACGTGTTAGGCGCCTTCGCAAGTTGAACCAGATATTCGAAAAATCGCGGACTCCATGAACGTGAATGTGGTGCTGTTAAAGCGAACTCAGGTACAGTGTTAGAAACTGATAATCCTACTGATTTACTGGTTCATTTGCTCTTCCAAAGTCGATTAAACGACTCACCGGTTGGGTTTCTTGATTGTCCATGCCGTCGCCGTTTTCATCAACACTGAATGATATCGGATGGGCAGTGAACGGTCCACTTGTGGGCTCAACCTACCAAGAAATGAAGAGGATTTCACTGATTACCTTCCCGTCAAGAGTTCGGATATCACTTGTAGCACATGTAAATTAACGTGTTAGGCGCCTTCGCAAGTTGAACCAGATATTCGAAAAATCGCGGACTCTATGAACGTGAATGTGGTGCTGTTAAAGCGAACACGGGTACAGTGTTAGAAACTGATAATCCTACTGATTTACTGGTTCATTTGCTCTTCCAAAGTCGATTAAACGACTCACCGGTTGGGTTTCTTGATTGTCCATGCCGTCGTCGTTTGCATCAACACTGAATGACATCGGATGGGCAGTGAACGGTCCACTTGTGGGCTCAACCTATCAAGAAATGAAGAGGATTTCACGAACTGCTTTCTCGTCAGGAGTCACGTGTGAAGATGTCATGTTTACAAGCATGTCAAGCGACGTTTTAACGTGTTCGGCGTCTGCCAGCATTAGCGCATCGATCAGTACTGAGGTCATGGTCGGCATACTGGCAAGAGAACATTCCGATTCGACTTCCTCGAGGATCAAATGGACGTTCGACGTTGATCTACCCATGTTTTATATTGGAGAAGTGAACGTGGTGTTGCTAATGCGAATACTGGTACACTGGTTGAACTGTAAAACGTACTGAAACACTGATTCATTTGTTCATCTGATGTCAACTAAATGACTGACCAGTTGAGCTTCTTGGTTGCGTTTTATCAGCCGGGTTAAGATTAAAGTTAAAACCATGTTATTCCATGGGCTCGTCCGCCAGCACAGCTGATGATGGGCTAAACATGGAATAATGGTAGATCGATAGACGAAGATCATTACTGAGTACTAACTCAGGTGTTTCAAGAAGTATGTAAAAGTAGGGATGTGTTGGTAATTCAAGTCTAAGCTGAGAAATAACTCATAAATTCAAATCAGGAGCTTGTGTCGCTTTCACCTTTTCATTGTTCAATTTTCGGCATGGACTTATGTAATCCTTGATAGGCGACAAACCGAAGAATCTTAAAGATAATTTCCGTTGTATCAACATCCAATTGACTTGAGATTACTACGAAATTGGCGCTTTTGTCACTAGCTGGGACTCCAATGCTTTTTAACCTTGTCCGCTCTCTATCATCTCGCATGCCACATTTTTCTCTTGTTGAGAGGTTAGAGTGGAATTTCTGCGCGCGGTAATGATTAAAGATGTTCCAAGTTTCGTGTCCACTTATCCGAAATTTGCTATCAAGTTCATTTTTGAGAGCTTGTTGACCAAGGGCGTGTTGTAGTGAAGTGGTCGGAGACGCCGTGCAATACACGCACAGAATCGATCTCCGCGTCCATGGTTCACCAAGAATTCCATCCCACCAGGGTCGGCAAATTGGTGACAGATTTGTCTGAGAGAGTAGAAGCACTGGCTTGATACATCGGTAGGCCACCGCGAGCGGTTGTAACGGCCAGATATACATTCAATAACCTCCGAACGATGATTAATGAAGTCCAATTCATGGCTCACCCTGAAGAGATTGATCAATGCCTAGAGCTTTATCCTTTTATCCTTTTACCGTGACTCCCATGACCCTAGTTAATGGCAATTTAACGAGTAGTTGATGCCGACCTTTACTCAAAGGTCGGCTAATTTTTTTCATCAAATTACTCTAGTATTTGGCTTAATAGAGATGCAAGTCAATGAGTGAGTGCAAGTCAAGATCCACCAAGTGTTCTTTTTTAAAAGGGGTCGCCAAATACTGAGCACTATTCCTTCGAACCTTACGTCTTCAGTTGAGCGAATATTGTTCTGCTTGCATTGTGGAGCGGTGCGGAGTATTCGCATTTCATTACAAGAGGCGAAAAGCAGGAAGGTCGACATATGCCAGTGAGATAAAGGAACCCTTGCCATTCGTGGAGGAAATTTTTGTTCTGTGAAATGTCGAAAGCATTGGCTTTGTCGTAGGCTCAGCTATTTCCCATTTAGTCAGCTCACAAGAAATCGTATTAAGGCACTTTTTCATTATTTGCGTCCAGTTGGCACTTCACAAGAAAGTCGCTATCATCAAGTATTGCTCACCATTCTCACACTAGATAAGAACAAACAGGAAACGTTTTACATCCAGTTGGTTGAAGTAATCTACAACAAGAAGTTCTATAAATTCGTTGTTGTGAAATCCGTTGTTGAGAACCCCAATGCCATATTAGGAGTGGCCAACGAAAATGAATGTAGCACAGGGACACTTGGAGTAGTACAATGAAATGCGAATGGAAGTCTTCTTGCAGGACCCTTGTTTGGTGCAAGTCTCCCCATGGTAATTTATTTTTTCAGAAAAAATAAAACTGCCGATCGATATGAGAGACTCCTAACGACACGAGTATCGATCATATTCTCACGAACAGAAATTGGTGTCCTTTCTACACCTCGGTGGTACCTGGATTCTGTGCAAGATCTGATCACCATTTTTTCGTGCCAAGATTTCTTTCGGCCTCAAAATGTAGAAGAGCTCCTATAATCGCAGTGATGCTGAGATGTTTGCAAAATGGTCCAAGAAAAATGAAGTAGGTCGGATAAGACCCCCATATTCGAAGTAGATTTTTTTTCCCATATGACGCACACGAAGACGACTGAGGATTGCGAACAGCTTGTCGAAGGACTTAAAACTTGTGCTGTGCTCGCCTCAGCTCCTCAAACAAGGAGTGCAGACTGTACCTCTATTACCACTAAGAAATTGCTTGGGTAGAGAAGGACGCTGATGCCTGATCATATTGCAACACGCCTAGCACAACTAATAATAAAATGACTGCTATAAAAAAGCTGTTGCAGAATTTACATCGTTATACGCAGGAAAGTTATTGGAAGCAGCTCAAGAGCGATCTAGTCTGAAAACTGCCGTCGGGATCACTGGGACTACAATGTTCCGTTATCTGTCCTGATGAACGCAAATTGGGCTTTCACTTTATTCCTCCATGATACTGGGTCATAACGGAGAAGTTCTATACTAATCTTTTTCGCTTCACAACCTCCGTCTCTAAGCCTGAAATCCCCGCTAAAGAAAACCACCAGGGATTTTAAACTTTAAAGCTCGAGTTGAGATAGAAAGTCTGAAAAGAGCCTCAGCCCCAGAACCCAACGAGATTACTGCCGATTGCCCAAAAACTGGTGATCACAAACCACATATACTTTCCGCAATACAAGTGACATCTTAATCTCATTAAAAAGTCTCAAACCAGTAAGAGACGTCGTGCACGGTCTTTCTAGTCAAAGATTGTTACTGAAGCAATCTTCTTAACTACATTTTCGTTCAATGTTCTCTATAAGCTCTTCACAAAGATTGTCTTATTGGGTATATTAAGGATATTGGATGAGGCCCAACCAGGTGAGCAAGCAAAATACCAACAGAAATTCTGTTGCATGGAGCACATCCAAACTGTATCACTGATCATAAAACCTGTCGAAAGTGCCATCTGTTTCTTTTCCTAAGTTTTGTCAACTGTTAAAAAACGTACAACAGACTCGAAATCAGTGCGGTCCCATCAGCACTCGTCGAGCAAGAAGTGAAACCGTACCACAGATGAACAAATCGCAGAAGCTGTTTAGCGCCGCACCGCAGTGGGTAACGAAGTCAATTGATTGGGATGAGAAAGGGATATGTATTGATGGAAATTCCCTACCAAATATTCGCTTTGCCTACGACATCGTCATCCTCTCAGAAAGTAGCGACTAAACTGAACCTATGATCAGTGAGCATAACGGAGTCGGAAGAAGGATTGGACTACGCAAAAAACTCAGTTCCATGAAGACCCCACTGTGCGAAAGCAGACAGATCGAACTGGATGGTTTTCTGATAACAGAAACCACCCGTAAGTGCACATTGGACATTAAATAAACATGATTTAAAGCAATATTAAGAAGGAATTAGAGAGTAGAATTATAGCGTCATAGGTCGCATTCGGGTCAGTCAAAGGAGCCACCGACTAACTAAGATTCCGCGCTTACCTTTTCAATTAGGCAGTTCTCCCAGAGCTGTGTTATGCAGGAGAAAGGTAAGCTAATATTTCAACCATGTCAACAATTCTACTAGCCATTCACGAAGCGTTGAACAACCTCTTCCGAAATTTAAGCGATGCTCATAACCGCTAGCCGGAATGTGCTCCTCAAATCTTCAAAACCTATCCCATCTTCGGAATCCAGAAGAGTGCAAATTGGTAGCGAAACATAGATGACTCGTTCACATAATAAGAAGAGCAAAGGACAGATGGACGAACTGAGCAACTGTGTGCAGTTTAAGAGAATCTTAGGGTTTTTTGGGAAGACCAACGTGTTCGTGGCTGACGTCAGCCGTCTTCCTTTGCAAATGGAATCGATTTCTATGCGACGAAATGAGCCTTGCTGCCGTCACCACTTTTGGAGCAGATCACACTCACAGACTACAAATACGCGAGAGAGAAGCGAATGGAAATTATGAGGGCGCCCCGACAACCGATGAAGACTTACCATCGAAGTATTCAAACAAGTAGGTTGGTCTAAAAAATCATTCAATCATTTAGCTGGCAAGAAGTGTCGTTGGAAGAAAAACCATTCTAGTGAACTGTATTTATTCAGAAAAGCGTTATTACGCACTAAACACAACTTTAATGCGCCTTTTATATAACTATATAAGACAGGTAGCTTGTGGCAAAACGTTCAATACAGATTATTTTGGTTACAAATTCACAGAAGCTTAAACCTATGCGTTCGTTTTCGTATGCCTCTCAATGCTCTTTATGCCGGTTAAGCAACGACACCCTCCTTAATAAACACAACTGGTTTTAGCAAACTGGATATTTGACTTCAAGCATACAACTAGGTCCACACCACATTAAAGAAGTCTGAAGTCATAGCTGAGCGATCATTGCATTCTGAACATCTCACCGGGAATGGAACCCTCTGACTAGAAGGATAATACTGAGCACATGAGGCACGCACCAAGTTAAACCTTGACTTATTTGCAACATAGCACTCTCATCAACCATGTAAAGCCTTTAGTTATCTGAGTGAATCTGTCTCTGCTGCTTCAGCATATCGTCAGCGGGATCAGCATCGTTTCAGCGAAATCTTAATATTTTAGATCTCCCTACTGTCATAGACTATATTTTTGCATGTATGATACATTTCTTCAATGTATATCAAATGAATGCCTTGGCTCCGTCTTAGCGTTTTATATGGCATATATTACCGGCTTGCAAGTTTACCTTTAAACTGTTGTTTCTAGATGCCAAAAGTATTTGTTAGTAACTCAAAGCCAAGGAATAGCAATCATAGAATCGATCAGAAATGGAATGCGGAATTCCAAGTTTAGTCTTTAACTCTAACATGTTCAGTCTAACCAGCCCGACTTCTATAAAAGAGTGATCCAGTATATTTTAAAGGCATATATTATGAAGTAATCGCTTTTAAGCACTTGTTGAAAATACTTTCCACAACAGTTTTTCCAACAGATTAAGAAATTTTCGATTCCATAAACTAGTATCAAATCACCAAACGGTCAGCATAACATCATTCTGGTTCAATTTCGGCTTTGAGAAGTGCTGTCGAGCTTTAATGAGGCTCTACCTCTGAGCCGATCGTTGCTGGTTATAATAAAGGATCAACTCCTCGTCGCTCAACACAACACGCTCGACAAGCGGTGGTCCTAGGTGAGCTGATGAGGCACCGGGAGTACATCGAAACGCTGACTTCTTATCTTGTCACTTGTTTCGCGCTCCATCCATTTTCCTGAAATTCCCAGCTTTCACACTTTTTTAAATGCTCCCCAAAAGGTGATAACTTGAAGACGGTATAACGTGACCTTCTAAGGATAGTACGCATTATTATTGCTAATTCGCGAAGAGGAGCCATTCAGTTATTCAATTACATCAAAGCTGAGAAGCCATGGAATATGATCTCATGCCTTATGCACTCTGCCTTTTTTCCTACCTTATTTATCAACGTGAGCTCATCACAGAATTATTGGAAAGCTTTAAATACATAGTTAATCTCTATTCCGATGTTTTTTGATATTCTGGACTTTTTTATAAGCAGGCTTTTATTGAGCCTCTGCGCATGGTCAATAACCTTTTCGATTCCTGAGCCAATTCGAATTTGGTGCAGAAATAATTACTCGGCTTGAATCTGAAATGTGGTTCCGGCGGTAAATAGAAATGGTTTGTTTACATATTTTTAAGAAGATGTAGACGTCGAAGATTTAGCAGAACTAATCTTTTTATTCCAGACGTTCTCGAGTTTTTATGGTATTGAGCATGCATTTTGGATATCACGCTTCTGAGAAAACACCATCGTCGATAATTCTCCTGGCAAATACGAGCACCTCATCCAACATCTTCACGATATCGCTATAAAAGCAAACGCTTTATAATTTACTAATTGTTTTTGAAAGCCTTCGTTCGGTAAGAGATTATAGGAATAAATTAGTCTCAGGCAAATACAAACTTAGTTCTGAGCAATCACGTCTATCTGTCACCTAGATCATCTGTTTAGGCCACTCGATGGCTCCCCTAGCTTAGATACACAAAGTGCATCACGTTTTTGGTATGAGACCTTTTACTATACCATTTGTAGTAGGCGCATAACAGTTGTTGTTGACTAGGGCTCATCCAAACATGGGTTTATTTTTATTTGAGCTTTCGGATGCAAATGTCCAAGCCCGCCCAGCTATGATGAACTTGCAGTGAGACGATGTGTCGTTGCAGATATCACTTCCATAACTAGGACCCGGATGGTGTGGTGGTGAAGTGCGCTGCTCCCCGGTAAGGACAACAGCGCTTGTTCGTTTCCCACTGCATACACCTGCGGTCCGGAGTTTTGCAAATATCTCAGCATTTCATACGAGTTACAATACTCTAAATTTAAACAGCGACTACTGAAACACCACTTCTGCTTTCAGCATATGTTGATTGGAAATACGCACAATCAACTTGTCGAGTGAACCACTCGCTCACTGCGATGGCTTCAATGCAGAGACCACCTCGTACGTTTACCTCGGGAGGTCAATGAACATGGAAAACAACACGGAAGAGGAACTATATAGAAGAAGGAAAGCAGTTTGGGCCACATTTGGGCCTCTCGAAGAAGCCGCTGACCAACTGAAGAACCCGAAAATCCGCGCTCATCTCTTCGATTCTACGGTCTTCCCAGCTCTCTGTTACGCTGCAGAGAATTGAGTTGATAATTCAGCCACGTCAGGAATACTTCGCACTATTCATGAAGCTCTTGAGCGATGTCTTCTGAAATATAACCGGCACTCTCAATATCTAACCGGAATGGGAAGCTCTGACCTTCGAAATCTGTCGCATCTTCGAGATCCAGGGCAATATACATCGACAGCGAAACATAGATGGGCCGGTCACATAATGAGAAGAGCAAAGGACAGATGGACGAAAAGAACAGCAGAGTGGACTCTAAAAGAATGCGTGCGTCTCCTAGGAGGACCACCTACACCATAGGCGGACATGTTCGTAAACAAGCTTAATCAACTGTACCGGCATCTGCAGTTGCTTTATAGATCATGGTATGAGACTCGCAAACACTGCCATGTCTCGAACAAGGCCACCACCATGAACTACGATTGCCAGAGAAAGGAACGAATGGCATATGTTCTGGGGTCCGCACAGCTCGTGAAGACGGACCGCCCAAGTATCCAAATAAGTAAGTATTTATACTTGAGGTCGAAAAAATGTTTGCACCACTTTAACCCATGTAAATTACTGGGAGCACTGAAAGATTCTGATATTATTCCGACCTGGGTAATGACAACATGAGTTACTGGAGGATAAGTTTTTACAAAATTATCAAACAATGACAGATTGGCAATCAGGAATCGCAGCGGCTCCTAGTGACCCTCTCAGCGTGGAAAATTAGGTTGAAGATTGGAAACGGTAAGGTTTAACTTTGCATTTTTGGCCCTCATTTCGCATATCTAATGAAGGCTAGATTCTGTATATTCGGGAAAAGAAGAAAGATAATTAGAGTTTCTCAGATTTTTAATCCAGTGGTTTCTATCACTCAGTAGTAATTTTTAAATACTTTCTCTACTCACGCCACCGTGATGTTATATATGTACGATTACTGCTGACTGATTTACAACAATTTGAGAGTACCACATATTTCTAAGAATTTAAGAAGACAAATAATGCTGTTGTAGTTAATCTCACAATTTATTTTCTTCCACGACCTTCACATAATTTACAACTGCGACCACATATTTGGAGCTTTTGCTGAAGTGAGTATGCCGTGCTGTCGCAAAAGCCTTGTGCAGCCCATTTCTCACAGTCAGAACGCCGATCGCGACATTCAGTACGATAGCTCGATGTCTAAAGTGCCATTTATCTCTTCTTAAAAATTTCCGCAGCTTCTAATTAAATAATAGACTAGCCATTTCAGAGATGTGACAACGAGCGCAAGTTTTTGCACAATTCATCGTTGTGAATTCTTTGTAAGCTGCTTTTTCACAGAGATTACGTAGACATCCATTGAGTTTGTCAGTGCAATTAATATGCATCGTGATCATACCTATGAGATCAATCTGGTTTTTATTAGTAACAGAGAAACACTGTTAATTAAGAAATAACTGGCTTACAGCACACACTGTTGAAGCAGGTGTGTCCTTCTGGGCACTGACCACTTACACACTCTAAAATCAATGAGTTCATCCATTGTCAAAAAAAGAGAAATATATCTATGGGTATAAGAGAGTTGGGATCTCCGTTATGGATAAAGTTGTGCGGTGGCCCACAATGCTTTGCGAATAATTGAGTTAAATATGGACCAGAACCGTTCATCTATATTTACATTTAAGTGGAAACGGAATCGAGAGAAATATTCTTTTTTTGTGCTTCGTCGCATTAACAAATATCTTCACTTCTTCTTCAAGCGTGCGATTTGGAAATAAAAGGTCTAGTACAAAAACATGGACGATTTCATGTTTCTCAGATCAGCGCACTAAAGCTGGACGAGTGGTGGAATGCGACAAAGGCGAAGTTGACTAGTGCCACCTCGAATCATTTGGTGAATGAGAGCGTGACTTACACAAGTTGAGAGTAATGTACTATACCACTATATTTCTAGCTGTTAAAATTTTAGCGGAATACTTAGACCATGTGTTCTCGGTTAACGAGCTTTATCAGTGTTTAACGAATTATGAATTCCACATGAGCATGCTTGGTAAGAAAAGTGAAGCACTAATTTTATCTTTCCTCTTCTAAGAGTGCCTAAACACTTTATCTACAATTTTCTAAGCTAGAAAAATTCTATATTCTGGAGAGTTCACCGCAGGTTCATGACTGCTTGCAGAAAAGCCAGGTACAGTCGATTTATGACTGTCCCGTAAGAGTAATTAACTGCGTTTGTAAAGCAAGTCTATATGAAAAATATACAGATTTGGTTTGATTCAGTGATGTTGGACTTTTGTTTTCTAAGACTGGACAAAAATGGATTAAAACCGTTTCCTAGCCAGACTTCTTACTTTGAGTCGATCCGGAAAAAGTTCACTTTTTGAAAAATATTGAAAACAGTTAAAAACTAGTAAAAGGTTTTTCTTCCAAGTTTCACTGACCTCCAATCGCTTCGCCAACAGGACAATTTCTTGTGGCAACGATTTTTTCAATATCTGGTTTGATTATTGCCATATTTTTACTCGTTTCCATATTTTTTGTGAGAGATGTTGATTTCGTTGAAAATGTGGACAAAATATCGTCTTCTTCATTTTCCTCATTAGTGTTCTCGTAATCAATGTCTTCTTTTGTTGAGGTCATCACTTCTTCCTGAATATCGTGGAGGATCACTGGTGAATATTTTTTTCTCTAAGTTGTTCCGCTAGTTATGCAGAACATTTATTTTTCTCTAAATAGAAATAATGTGGCGTGACAGATTAGAAGGTTTTATATTCCACCGCAGTGTAAAAACAACCTCAAGGCTTCCATGTGCTTCCTTTGGTGTGGAAATTTTGGACGGACTCGGAACACATTCCACTTTTGTGAATTCTTGCGCCGCTCTTGTCGCTCCAGTGGAGTTCTTTACCTCAATTCTCTTTTCTTCAGTTTTCACTTTCTCTAATAAATTAGCTTTTTTTCTCTTTTATACTGGCTATATTTTTTTTGCTGAGCCCTTGACAATTATCTAGTTAACCTTTTTTCTCGACACTGCAGACAAACTGGAATTGTCGACGGGTAAAATTGTTGGAGAAGTTGGATTAGGTGATGTGAAGGTTCTTGCTCTTACACTGCCTGAAGACATCAATTTATGTTGAACATAAATTGCTAGGTTTAAGTGAACCATTAAAATTTGCTACCAGATGTACTTCTTGTCGTTGGTGGAAGCGTGTGTTCGGATGCACTACGGTTATCTGAATAGTTCACTTCTCGTCTCTATTGAAAAAACTGATCACAGCGATGAGCCACTGCGGTTATTAGGACCCAAGATGAAAAACAAAATTTCGGTTCAGAACTTCATGGAGAGCTTCAGATGCTTGTTACTTTTTCAAGATATTGAAGTCTAATACTTTCAGCTATTTGATTTATTTATTCACCACAACAGAGGTTATCTTCGCAGGTGTAGCCGCGTGGACACAATTCAGCCACACATTCACCAATTGCACGTTGTCCATCTCTGAACACACATCACATAAAATAATCACCGAGGAAAAAAAAATGAAATTAGGTACGCGATCATGTGATCTTTTAAATCTAACCTGCATTCTCCAAAATCTTCAACTTCTTCCAAATCTTCAATTTCCGATGACTCTGACAATGCCGTGGTAGGTGCCCGATTCTCACCTTGCAAAAAGTTTTTTCTGCGTCAGGTATGATTAAGTTGTTGTAGTACCAAAAACTGACTTACAGCAAACATTATTTATGCATTCGGATTCAGAGGGACATAAGCCAGCAAGACAAGCTGTAATGAATAGGTTGCAGCGGAACTATGCGAGCGGTCGTTTTTTTCCTAATAACTCACCACCAATAGAAATGCTCCTTGATGGGCACATACCGACGTAACGAACATGGGAATGCTGAACGCAAGTAGAAATAATAACCACCGAGATTAATCGCATCATTTCGCCGAACTCTTCACAATGTCTCACACAAATACTCGTCTTATATATTAGTCTGAAATAATGTTTATGGAGAATCGATCATTTGGTCAATTCGTGACCCAAAATTTTCATCCTTTTGGCACCGACACATTGATAACACACGTATCTGGAGAAATGCCCTCAGATACACACCAATCTCTGTAACAAAAAACTGGAAACGATGTAGTAGAGCAACCTTGGAATCTACTTGCGCAGAATTCAAAGACAATCATGAAGGAGACAAAATCCTCTAGGCGCGGTTGAACTCACATTTAAAATCTGTGAACAATGGGGCAAGAAAAAGATCGAAGTGAAGGAAATTCCCGTGCAATATGTCAAGATGTCTTATATAAACAAAAAAAGAACTACAAGAAAATCTTTGCATGTGAAAAATGCAGTTTTATATAACCGCAGTGGGCACTTAACACAACGTATTTTCTCCATATGCGTATCCCGGTTTAATTAAGCTTACACCAGGTAACAAAAAAGATCATTTTAGGTAGCCCTACCATTTTTCTTTGTGAAAGTTTTGCTTAACAACGCACAGCACATGCAGCACAGCCGCAAAGCCGGATAGCTTGAAACGAATTCAGTACGAATTAGGAGCGAGATTCATAGGAAAAAATTTATTCAACGCGTTAAGAAACTAAATAAGCGATAGTTTATTATAAAGCCTTATTTCACCTTAATTCCTTTTCAGCCCAAATATATCATTTCTTAACCTTAAACTCAATATTTAAGGAATGTCTACTTTTAACATCACACCTTAAGGATAATTTTAAAAATATTTAAAGAGTTAGAGGTAGATTGAAAAAAATAACCGGCGATTATTCTGAGCTTGTCGATAATGTCTATCAGTAACTTGAGGAAGATGAATCAGATGATAGCGGTTTTGAACAAAATCGTTTTAAACCGCAGTCATTCGGTGGGGAATGTGAAAATGTTCAGCAAACGGAATAACACTCTTCACAAATGGATGATGATGACCCTCGACCAAATCGCACGACACCCCAGCGCAAGAGTCGCACACCTCACAAAGCACACTCACCACCCTCACTCCATGACCATAAATGAAATGCAGAACACTGTCCACTAAACAACATCTGACCGAGCGACAGCGATGCTCTGTTCTGGCCACCTTACAATAACAACCATCGTATTACCACTTGTTCTGCAGATATTTAACTTAAGTTAACAAGCATCCATAATATCTTTACTCCTTCCTTGCCACGGACCGATTATCATCGTCATTCTGGGTGTTCCATGAAGTAGTTCACAACGACAGCCTGGCAACGGAAGTGCCGTCATGGAAACATTTTTAATAACTGTTTTAGGGTTCCAAATGAAAGAAAACTTGGTCTCCCCGCACAAAAAAAATCTGGCACTCAAATAAAAGTTATGTTGCTACTGTTTTATGTGCTACTTGATTTTCGCTGCTCAGCACGTTTCCCCGAATGGTAAGATTTTGGTAAACTAGACATTCACTCAAAATTTGGAAGTCTTGTGTCTCTCTAAAGAGATTGCATGAAATTGTAATTTTGTCAGCGTCATCTTTGAAATCCTATCCTATGTTCTTGTAAAACAGGTTTCTCGCAAAACGTAGTTGATCGTTGGTTTCATTCCTTAGCTCGGTAATATAAGTACGCCACTTAACTGAACTCGGAGAGATAATACCAAACTCTTCAAAGAGATAAACAAACAATAAACTGCTTCATTGGGAGGCAACTGTAGTTGATTGTACAAAGAAAAAAAGATGAAACGCTTAGTCTTGATCAGTCCCTGAGGAATGCGCCATGCATTCGGCTTCATAACGCATCGTCAGAAATGAATGAAGTCATATCTGGGCTATAAAATAACTTCAATGGCTTAGTGATGTATCAAGTCAGTGCTGCTACAGTAGCGCAAGTTTACCCACTTGCCCCCTCAAAAAGGATGGAAGGGTGGATGAGTTCGAGGTGAGGGAATGAACATTGTGCGTTGGTAGGCACCTCTCACCACTGTCCCAAAGATGTCCCTAGTCTAATCGGCTTATTTGGAAGTCATTATACGAACGAAATATACAATTGGTCACGTCTAAGTTGCTGATTGAGGTCCAATGCAGTCGAGTCGAATGGATTCCTCATGGATTGGTAACATTCTGCGCGTTTACCTTTATCAGTCTGTGTTTGATTTAATTGATAGTGAATGATCTGGTCTTCCCACTTGGAATGGAAAGAAGATTCACGGTTGTAGAGTATGATTAAATTTTCGGAGCAATTTCTTTGGAAAGTTGAAATTGGGGCCATGTTGGGTATTGCCCTTTAATCCTAATTTGCCATACACTCCGTTTTCACAGAACATAGAATAGGAGAAGAGAGATGTAACATTCTTTGCGCCTCTTTTCTTGATGTTCTCTCTACATGAAGCCACAATGTAGCTCATCGAAACTATGGAATTTTTTCGCTACATAATTGGCCCATTTCTGTTTTTCTAGGCATGCTGTCGGCTGATCCACAAAGGTTCTTTTTAAACAAATGTCTGAATCACCAAATCCGCCAGCTAGATTTCCATAGTGTTTCATAAAAGAGTGTCAATCAAGTTTTTCAAGGAATTGTAGGTATTTATTCATCATCCCGGTTATGCACCTATAGACGGCGTATTAAAGGAATCGAATAAAGGAATTTTTTCAATTAAATCAGAGTTGCTAAGCTTTTAACAGATGATAATTCATCTCATTGCGCAGTTCTGATGGCAGTTGGTCAGAGCATATAAAAGAAGAGTAAGGCTTTCGGCGTTAATCTACCCCTGAGGGATGTGCCATGCATTAGACTTCATTAAGCATCGTTGGAGGTGATTGAATGCATATGTTGCCTTTACAGTGACTCGCGGTGGCTGACCGATGTATCGAGCCAGTGCTGTTATCCTAGCAGACAAACCTGGTACCAATTTGCCGACCTTGGAGGTATGGAAGGGCTGGTGGTCCTTGGGCTCAGGTATCGGCCGCATGTGTATTGTAGGGCGCCTCGGGCCACTGGGCTACCTACGCACTCCCCGATTAGAGTATATGGGTAGGAAAATTCGACTTTGTATCAACGAACGATGTGACTATAGCTTTTGTTCCACTCTGTGTAATGGTGATTGTATAAGTAAGGGAAGTGACCAGCATTCGGAGCTTTCGACATATTTTCGGCGCTAGGTGCGGTTCGAAAGTAATTCGTGAAATATTTGAAATTCAACTTGCTCAAGTTATTGCTTCATTGGAAATAATTGAAATTGGACGAAAGATAATATTCATAAGGAAGTTGTTCATGGCACTAAAATAGGTACGGAAATGGTAATACACATTTTCGCCATCCATTCTGTTCACAAGATCTATAAAATCCTAATGAACTGCACGAAACGTGTTCAACTGAATATGTATCCAAACTTCCCTTGGTCATCATTGGGACTCACACCATTTTATATGCAAACACTAGATGGAATGGTAGGGAACAGTAATACAGAATAGCTGAGAATAGTTAAACCTATGAGATCCTTGCGATGAATAATCAAATACACAGAAATAATTTGTGATACCAAATTGCCTTCATCTATAAGGATATCCTTCTCTTTTTACTACATTGTCACACTCTCTTATTTTCAACCAGTGGATCCAGAAAATTGTTGGTCAAACCTGGGTTTATTGCAGGTTTCCCCCACTCTCAGCAGCTTATCTTTGGAATGATGCACGATCACATCTGAACATTTAAGATTAGTTAAGAAATCACTGTGGATCTACCAGAGGGGATCGTTGAGCATTTATTCGGCATCTTGACATAAAAAAGTTTTAGAGATTAAATATGCAAACCAAATATCATTGCGTAAATAGCACCGGAAATTGTTAACTATAAAAACCGTCTAAGTAAAATAAGGTAGTCGCTTCATGAACTCGTTCGTTATTTGCTGCAGATTTGATGAAAGCACTGGTACTCGTACTTCATGATATTCGACGACATCGCTGTATTCACAATGAGTGAGGTGGTCGCCCAATTTCGGCGCTGGCTCCCAAAAGTATTCCAGTGGTTTTTCAGCAACAGAAAAGTCTACTGACTGAAAAAATATGAGCAATTTTTATGTTACTATGAACCATTGGGAGAAGAGATTGCCAAAAGAAACGTTTTGTTTTCATCTCACTAACTAATGAAGGAAAATTTGACATCTTTGCTAACATTTCTGTGATGCTTTGAAAGAATTTTCCGTGAATTGACAAACTCAGTCTCAATAATGTCCAGTAATACTTACCAGCCCTCCTTCAACCCAACATCCTCCAAACTTTTTCCAAACTATGCTAATCATGGAGCGCTCCCGAGCAAACGTGAAAATTACAGAACGCAGTGATCTGGAAGGAAAAAATTAAATGTGAAATATATATGAAAAAATGCCCATAGTCAAAATATAGCAACTTTTCTATAGGAACGCGATTTTGGCAGATTTATGGTTCGACCGCATATAGTTCAAGTGATGGCACTACACCACTGCGCTTCGTTCGATGGACGTACATTGAAAGTGAGACAATAGAAGCGCACTCATTCGTAATGCTATTAAAAAACTTAAAATTGCGAAATTCATCTTGGTAATAAAAACGCGATACCTTGATGTTTGAGAAAGTGAGCGAATAGCCGAGTTAGGTAGGTATTTGAGCAAAGTAATGATCAGCCAAGCAGGAAGTGTGTCCAAAGGCCGAGGAAGTGACGTGTTTTCGTTGTAGTCGGGAAAAGACGGAAGAAACGATATCGAATCCAACGACGAAAGAAATCGAAAAAAATTTACTCTAGTCACCATATTACTTGACAGTCATTGGAATTCAGCTGCTAGTTACCGTATCATTCCACATTTAGGTCGTAATCGTGTGGTGTAAAATGTGCAGCCGCGCTGCCAGTTCGGACATCTAACGACGAGGTCCGAGAGACTATTGATGCATCGTACATGCTGTGACACATGATGATCCGCGTATTCAACTCGACGGAATGTTTTCAGACATCTGAATTAGCAGACAACGCTCAGTGACATTTTTTGCCTTTATATGTTTATTATTTATCCCCTATATAATACCTTCATAATTCTATTACAAAAAATGTATTATTTGATGGTTAGAGTTGTGGTAGCGATGCCGTCCTTCACGAGTACGGTTACGCTTCGAACATGTTCAGGATCACCAAATCTCTAGTCTCTCCGTAGTCAAGAAATTGGTAGAACACTTGTGTGGGACAAGCTCGCTTCTTCCAATCCACGTGGGAAACGCTCTGACATGGCTATCCTAGAACTCCAGGGAGAATCGACCTGACCGCCATTCAATCGCATTTACAATGAGGAGAAAAACCCTCTAGAAGCACACAAACTCACACGCGAAATGTTCAAGGACCCACGCGGACGATGCATTCGAGAGAACAAATTAGATGCAAGAAGTGCAGGGATCGGCATAGTAGAAGTCAGGAAAGGTAACCCAAAGCAAATAAAATCGTAATAAAATATGCATTTCCATTTAGTGGCAGATTGAGAGAACGAGATTCCCTAACCGCACCACATGCGTTAAATAATTCTCAATTAGTCCATTTATTTATTCATATTATTCACTATTACCCATTCGGTGGATCCTATAGTTGCCTTCATTCCGTTAATTATCTTGTGTCGCTCATCGTCAGAAGTCTCCGGATTTGAGTATGGATTTGGCAGCTACTCGGAGATTACGTTTTCTTCTTTACTGTTACGGTGTGCTGGCCGAATCCAGAATTTCTAAATTCTTCGGATATCTCTACCGGAGCTCTCGCATATCTTCAGCACAAACGGCTACTGGCTTTTATAGGTAGGAAAAGGTATTTCCAAAACAAATGTGGCACTAATTTGCCGAAAACGAAGGAATGAAGGGCTTTATTGACCCACGACAGGAGTGAACCAATGAGTATAGTTTATGTGTTTTATGGTGTTTCTAACCACTGCGCTTTCCGCACCTCCATCATATATGTATTGACTGTTTGTCGAAATGCTACCGATATGTAGTAAAATAACGCTTCCGATCGAACTAAGTCTTCTATCCATTCCAGAACGTCCCAAAGTTTTTTTTAGAAGAAAGCGGTGATTTGAATAAGGATGAACTTGTAATATCTCAGTACACCTGTACCATCAATGTGGTGATCCAGATGTACGGAGTCAGAAACACTAACAGTCATTCATTATTTAAAATTAAAGACACTTTAATAGCACAAAAAAGGTTAGTGCTTATCTCCTCGTATAGAGTGATCCCCCAGAACGAATGTGAGCGATATTTTCACCCCGTACAAGGAACTCTGGCATAGTTTCCGGAGAAAAGTTTAGCTAAAAAATGGCGATTAAATCAGAAGTCTGTATTTCAGCGGGTAAATATACTTGAAGGTTGTAGATTTTGTGGAAGCTGTCAACATCCTTTCCAAATCTTTTCACCCGCTTTATCTCCTCGTATTTGACCGATTCATTTCCAAGGGTGTGAAGATGCTGACTGGATGGATCCATCTGAAACAGAAGTATTGGAAAAAAAAAGCCTTGAACACCTAAGTGCACTGAAGATTTAAATGCATTTATCAGTTATCTAACCGTTTTTGCCGATTAATTCAATAGCTGCCGTTAATTCAAGGAATAAGTCGTTTAGAAGATATCCATACTATCAAAATGGAAAGGCGGTGTATCAATAGACTTTTGTTTTGTACTTTCCGTAATTCGCTGAGTTGATTTTAGGGCTATTAAATTCTATAAACACGTGTAGGTTTATTAATAAGCTTACATGAAATTTTCCCAATTTTTCGTTGTGGCTAGTAAATTATTTTGCTATGTACCAGGCAAGTGAACTTCGACTGCTACAGAAAGGACTGTCAGCTTAAACATAGAAAGACTTGAATGGTAACCAGCCAGGAACCGTTGCATATCACGGGCAACGGCTGGCAGCGTCCCGCACACTGTATTTAATCCATAGTGCCCCGTTTGGACACTATAGTTTGCACATCAGTTTGGATAAAGTCACCGGATGGACACTATAGTGTCTCTAATCAGTTCAGTGGGTTCCGGAATATTTTTCTAGCGCACATTGTACATTCATTCAGTAGCTAAACGAAAGAACGAAACAGAAGATGTGAGACCAAAAAAGCCATTCTCTGCATGTAATGACTTCCAAATTCCTTTTTTGGAAAAAGTTCGATAGCAGGTTAAATGGCCAAGAATTAACTACCATTTCATGCAAATCACTAGTCATTGAATGGAATGTGCGAGGGCAAAAGAAAACTGAAACAGACTTAATATAACGTGCAAAATAATAGTAACAAACGTATTATTTACACCTATAGAACGATATGGCAGCCTCTTCTGCAATTTTATCATGTTCCCGACCTTCTAGTACTCTAGTTGTTGGAGAATTTTTCTCTATTGTAAACGATGCCAGAAAGTCGGCAGTCGACGAAACTTGCTCACATTCGATTTGGCCAGCTAGGTAAACGGTACAGGGACTTTATGGGTTAATAACTGTTGTGAACGTACGACTCCCAGTCATCTTAGCGCTGGAAAAGACGACGGAGCCGGAATGTTAGGTAGAATAGAAGTTGGTAACCACCTCGTGTAAGCTTACCAATAGACCAAGATATTGGTTGACTATGGTGAGAATAAATAAGATTCCGTTTTAGAAATCTTCGTCGATGTAATTTCTAGTTTTGCTTACTGTAAAATAATCGGAAGCAAAAACTAGGATGTGAAGACCACGGTGTAATCTTTTTTTAACCGCCTTAACCTCTCCGAAAAAGTGCAAATACACAGAACATTATATATCTTATTCAAATAGTAACTATAAAGTATTGCATAAGTAAAACTTGATGGATCATAGTCTACTAACCTGACACATGTAGCAGTTAGCAAACATCGCTTTCTTCTTTTTAAGCTTCGCTTCCTTAAAAATCTTTAGTTTTATAAAGACTCCAAAAGATACGGCATAGGAAATTTTTATTTTTTCCTTGATATCGACCTGCTGTATATCTGAAATTCAACAGGTTCTTTCTAACGACAACAGTCTTAAAAAGACGAAAAACAAGAGTCAAGTGACGTCAGCATCCATATTAACAACGTTGAGAAATTTAGAAATAATGGAACTCTAAACCTTCAATAAGCAAGCAAATTTTCAGCTTCTTGTGACAAACAGTCACATCTTTCATGATACTAATGAATGAGTTACTACCCTCCGAACAGTTATTCCATATAGCATCAGTCAGATTGCCATTTACCTCTGCCACGCGCTAGATTTGCTGAATGATTTTCTCTTTCTTTAACACATAACAACCAGCGCTCAAATTTTAATTACTACTGCGTCTCTCTATCTTGCATACACTCTGCAAGTAACGATGCTCGTTCCGCTCAAAATGAACTCGCTCGAGAAAAGGTTTGTGTGAATTACAAAGTGAACAGAAAAGCTTTTGACGAGCCCTTGGCTAACCCTACATCTGTTCATGAAGAAATACATGATGATTAATCATAAAGAGGGTGAAGGAAAGTCGGTTTTCCAAATATTCTAGCGCTCCGTGCTAGCTGATTATGACACTGGCTTCTGCAAGATAGATCGTCCAGGGAAAAACAAGTTATTTCTGCCTAACAATCACTACTAGCAACTGCTGCCCTGTGTAAAAGAGCGCTGAATGGTGGAGTTGCTCTATTTGAGAGATGTTCCACTGAGGAAAATTCGATTAGGTATGACCACGAAGACACCACATCGAGAAGATGAGCGACTGTGAAGTTCGATTCGGATCATCGGCATCGATGAAGACAAAGATGTCGAAACGTCAGCCAAGTAAAGCTCCACCTCTCCGGAGTCACTTCTAAGATATTTAATGAAGCTAGGATTCTTCTAGAAGGGCACAGCTTCGCGCGGTTAAATAATCGTGTGTAATCGCGAGCAATATAAGATGCCCGATCCACTTTTTAAAGGGTGCAACATAATGTTTGTCAATACTAATATAAATATATACACAAGCAGTTATTGGAGAATATAAATATGTGAAAACTCGTTGAAAACGTGAAAATGTGTGAAAACATGTGAAAACTACCTTAGCACGTGTTTCTTCATCGCTGCTGTTCTCCTCATCGCTGAACTCGGATGTTCCCACCGTTACACCATCATAGTCATGAATCTTGATAAAAAACATATTTGTACGCTTACAAATCGCTTTTTGGTTTTAAGGTTAAGCAGAAGCACTCAATTTTTGCTGAAGTATTGTTTCCGGAAATGCTCGTGGTCAATTTTGCAGTCTGGTAACCAGAATTTTCTTCAGAATCGACACGCATGCCTTCGAAGCTTATAACCGTCAAGTAGTGAACATGTTCGAAATGAAAACAGAGTTTAAAAACTGATACTAAAATTTCATTTATCTCTGAGAACTACTGAAGTCTTACTAGCAACAATGTATTAAGCGTAGCATTCTCTGTTTTATGCTCCTCTCATATTTTCTCTCCTGCTTATTCCTATATAATCACCATTTTGTAATTTTTAAGCGAAACTCTGGGTTTTCGATGGTTTGTGCTGCAAAATTGGAAATGGGTGTGTGATTTTCAGAAGAAGCATGGCTGTCCGTATGCAATAGTTCTTTTTATCTACAGGTTGCTTCAGATTGGAAAAGCGAAATTGCCGAAACGTCAGCCATCGACCAACAAGAGCATGAACAACAACGACGACAACGAAGACCTTTACCAACCTCTCATCAGCTAGAGAAGATGAGTTTATATGATCATATAAATACATATATCAACAGCAGTTCACCTTGTAGCACAATAACGGTGTTTTAGAGGACAACTAAGGATTTTCGATAATTCACTGTTTTCTTAGTGAGCGTAGACGAGGCTTCTATTGCAGCACTTATTCATTCATAATAGCTGAAGTTTCGGTGGTTTCATCTTCCTTAGAACCTCGAGAGGTGAAATTGAAACGCAATCTAGTCGGTCAAACACTAAGCTTTTCGGACTCCGAAGAAGGCAACACCGTAGAAACGTCAGTTACTATGAATTAATAAACACTGTAATAACAAACTCTTGTTCGCTCATAAAGAAAACAGTGAATTATTGATCGGTGCCGAGGTCGAAAGGAAGTCAGTTCTGGGATTTGCTACTAAGGGTTTCTTTATATCATAACAATACCCATGGAGTAGACAGCTATCTGTATATTTTGAATAAGGAGCTAGACAACGTAGAACCTCCGCCGAAGTGCACGAAGGCGAAAAAAATGAAAACACTTCACAGGAATACAAGATTATGTGGTAACAGGACTTCGACTCATTAACGCCAGTAGTCGCTGATTACCCCCGCATGCAAATGCTTTCGGCAACATGCATTGATTTCACTTCATACTCTTTCCCTCTGTTTTTCTTTATACTGGAAAGATTTCTGCAGTAACTATGTATTAAATCCATGTTTTCTCAGTAAAAATATTACATCCCGTCTAGTCTATGGAAGTTTGTTCCATCATTCTTTATAGAAGGCAATTATTGAGACGAACCTATTCGCCTTCACAGGTCCCCGCAACGATTCAACCACTTATCATATAAAAACAATGGCAAAAAATCCATCGTTGAGGGAAGGAATAATAAAACTCCCTGCTATTGGAGGCAATTCGGACTGTATGTATTGATTGTAGTGAACTACAGTCATAACAAAACATGGAGGTATTCAGACATCTACTGGAAATAAAAAACCCGTTAAAGCATGGATCTTCACCGGAGGTGTTTTATTAAAAATTGCAGAGATGTGAGCAATAGCAACAATTCAGTTGATTTGAGGTAAGAGAACGATGCAGACGTAAAGGCACGACGTGACTCACTTCTCGAAGTGGTAGAACCGGATGTGAAGGATGAAGACCATCTCGACGGCGAACGCGATCGAAACGTGAGAAACCGTAACTTTGGATGATCACGTTCTAAAATCGATAAATACATACATTCACACATATAGATACATACATATATGGATATATACATACATATACATATATTTATATATATTCTGCGTGCATATCAGGAAACTTTTATACATTCGAGACGAGCCCTAATTATCGCGGGTTTTTGGGTTTACTAGATAGTGCAGTTTAATTCGCTTGCGAGTGCGCTCTCATAAACTAACAGAATTTATCTTTCCTACAATACACAATTTAACTTATAGTGCCACAATCAGTCTTTAGCTTTGTGGAGGAAAGAAGTCATTTTTATTCTCTTCTTTGAGGAACTCGGAATTTTGGGAAGCAAAATAAACGAATAACCAGCTATTGGTGTGCTTGCGAATTGATCAACGGCGAACGCCTTAGTCTCTCTATTCTATAAGCGAGAAATTTCCATTCAGTTGACCAACCGATTACTAGTAGCAACAACATTGCCATCATATTTATTTGGCACTAATGTGCCATTTCATCCGATTATTGTTTTAAAGTAACAGTGGGAACTATTTATGACATTTATGATTTCTGTGGCACTCGAGCAATCCGCACAAAGTACTGATGCGCTAGAGCTTTCAAAGGATTCTTTGCTGGTAATTGCTTGAGTTAGGTGACCTAACCCATAACATAGGAGGCGTGCAGCACAGTGGTTGTGGTGGCGAGAATGCCGAGAACGGTGCTGGCTCAATTCTGCGCTGGCCTCAGCAAGCCTGTCTTCCCACCGGATGCGGGAAATCACTTTCAGACTTATCTGGAAAAATATTACGTCCTGCAGTTCAAGTGGGCGCGTGCTATCTCTGGTATCTCAAGACTCCAGGGAGAATCGCCTCGAACAGCATTCAACGACATTCGTGACAAAAGGAAATCGCGGGGCAGTTGCCGAACCAATACGGAGAATTTGGAAGATGATTGCGGATGATGAATGCGAGGAAGGAAATCAAATGCAAGAAGTGCTGGGAATCGTATACCATAAGGAAAAAATAAGAGGTGCAAAAAAACTAGTTAAATGCACAGAAAAGCTATTCTAACATGATGTTGTAGGTATCAACAAAGGAAAGGAAAGCAGATACTGATTCTTTCATATTTTTGATTATTGGTGTGTTTAAAATTCTCTTCATTGGATTTTAGAATGTTAAGCACACAACAGCATTTGAAATATGTTGATAGAGAGAATTTGAGACTTTCAAACTCCCAAACTGAAGTGATTCCAAACTGCCAACCTGATCTGAAATAGTTAGTGCGATGTCTAATGGAAGATTGCTGGAATCCCTCTTATGTTCAGCCTCAATCCCTTTTCCCCACTTCTTCAACTGTAATTTCGATGTTGGTGACAACACACATCGATCCCATTCTCTAAAGGGATTGATTTTAAACAGCATCAGGCCGCAGAAGTATAACTGTCAAAAGAAGTTATAAGAATAATGTCTACGGAAAGTCTTCATAAAAACTCATACTCATACTGTTCTTAACACTTATGATGCAACGTCTAATTTCATTTGACTGCTACTATGTCGCTCGAGGAATGGCATTCCACTTATATCTAGATGCAGGACAAAACTTTATCAGACAGAGGCCAGTCGAAACATCTGTGTTGAATAAGCTATCGAATGATTACAACTGTAAGAAAAAAAAGGTTCTGTGCATCAAAATGACCCACCGAGAACAAAACGACCTAAGGAAATCATGCCAGGCACTGTTCCCCACATCAAATGGTTCCTATACTGGCTATGTCGTTTAGTATGTGTTAAAACAGTGTAGGTTTTAGACAAGGCATAATAAAATTGGATGGATTAGATCCTATGCAAAAAGAAAGGCAGTCGAAAATCGAATTACAGAGAATAAAAGGCGATAAAAAATGTAGTTTCAAAACTGGGTGAAGGAAAGGCAAAGCCATGACTTTGCTTGGGGTGGTGGGTTAGCACATGAGCACTCAGAAAGGGTAATCATGGATTCGAAGCGAACTTGAGGTTTCGAATATTGCTCATTTACCTTCCACAAACCACAACACTTGCCGAGCAATTCTCCAGATGTCTCGATCTTCTATCACGTCTGATCAACTTACGGCAACCATAGCTAGCATTGATGCATGGAGTAAAAGTCTGAGGAGAATTATTCGAGTAAGGAACGGTTCAGAATGGAAGAGATGTTAGTCGAATTGCCTAAAACTTACCTTATGGCATATCTCAGTGATGTGGTCTTCAATTTTGCATTCGTGCATAGAAACATGGCATTGTGGGCACTGTATAATCTGAATATGTCAATTAACTTTGTAATGAAAGCAATTAGATCGTCGACCAAACCATTAAAAAAGAGCAATAGAAGCAATTTCAGACTTCAGATTTTCGCTCTTCTATATCATAAACACTGTGAGAGCGATTAATAACTATATAAAATATCAAAGATTTCTTAAAAATACTTCTTATGCACCAGGAGTATTTTAACGACGGAGCGTCATTGAAGAAATGCCAGGATAACGATCGATAGCAACGTGCCTTACACTGCAGAATGCTCTCCACTTCACATTTGGCCAAATGACAGGAGACACAGTGAGTGAAGTGAACGATATCACGAACACTAAGCCATTCCAACTCTTCCATTCAGCAAAATTTCTGCTGAACATATAAATTTGCTTCTGGCTGATTTTGTGCAAAAATCTTTTGCTTAAACTTTCTTGCTGTCTTCGACAGCCTGAGAATTCTATGAAATCCGTGTCCTTTGTGATCCATATCATCAATTAACTAGACAATTTTAAACTTTCTAATAAAATACACTCTTAGAATACTGTGAAATTTCCTGGAAGGATGGAAGATGATTAAAAAAACTCACAAAAAATCAACGAACGGGTTTGAAGGATTCTCTCACGCGTAGAATGTCGATCAATCGGAGGCGCAGAAAATAAACACTAGTTTAAAGCTGATGCAGCACTTGCTACCCATCGATTTTTGAAAAAGTAATGCCGAAAGCACAAAGAAAGGAAGTGGGATTTGAGCTCCTTTCGAACGCCTTTCGGCACCTACCCGAACGAACGACGAACTATGAAAGTGTTCAAATTCTCCTATCCACTGCTTCAAGATCTGAAATCAGACGACTTCGTTGTAGTACGGTTAAAGTATGGATGTACGGTTTAGTATTAAAATGACATGTGTGCAATATATCGACAATTATTTTGTAATGGCTTCAGGTTTTGGCAGGATGTACGTAATCTTGTGGTTAGATATTGCTTGCAATACAGATGCATTCAATGTTTCGACCCTCCGATGGAACAGGTGAGCTAACACTCCAGTGTTGTAAAATTGATAACAGACGCATAGGAAGGCATCTATCCGATCCATGAAAGCTTACGTCTTTCTCTCACAAAGACTCAGAAAAATCCAAAAGGCGATGTTCAGCGATTTCAGTGAGAATCGATTCGACCAGCATTCAACGACATCCATAAAGACGACAAAATTCCTTAATTATCAGCTGAACCTATATGCAAATCTGAGGATATTGGTGTGTGACGGATGTGAGACAACGAATCAAATGAAGGAACTGCTCTGATTCGCACAATGTGTAAACGCTCGTCATATAAGTAAGAGGAATAAGTAAAATACTCTTTATAACTCGTATGAAATGCTGAGATATTTGCAAAACTCCGGACCACAGGTGTATGCAGTGGAGAACGAACACGCGCTGTTGTCCTTACCGGGGAGCAGCGCACTTCA